TAAATATAAATTTTAGTGATATATTAATATGTCTAAAATTCTCTTCATAAGTTAACTTAAAGAGTAAAAATATAATAATATCTAATTGTTAAATAATATAACTAAAATATAATAGTAAGTAAACTAAGTAGATACTTTTAAAGTAGTATTTATATATTTATTTATTTATAATATAGCTTCTATAGCTATTTATAATTAAAAATCTCTTAGTATATAGTCTTTTAACTTTTATTTTAATATTTAGTATAAATACTTATTCTAATTATATTATACTAATTAAGTTAGATATAAATATAATAGTAATTAATATAAAGTACTATATATTAAAGTTTTTAATATTCTTAAGAAACTATTACTATTAAATAATCTTACTTTTAAGAACAATAAGTAATAATAAGTATTTACTATTAACTAATATATACTTAATAATAGACGTCTAAATATATAATTCTAAGCTTTAAATAAATAGAAAAAAGCTTATTAAATAACTTTAGTATTAATTTATTATATTAAACTCCTTCTATAATTCTTATTTTATCTATATTCTAATAGAAATTTATAAAGATATGTTTTATAGCTAAAAGATCTATAATATTCAAAAGAGTATTAATAATATTAGTAGTAATATTCTTTATATATTTAAAGTTAATTTTTAATAACTTTATTATTTTTATAAATAAGTTGTAATATAAGAAGCCTTTAGTTTACTTCTTATTAAGTAGTTAAGTATTATCAGTAATATAGATAATCCTTTAAGCTATTTTTCAAAGCTATATATATGTAAATATAAAACTTAATTAGCCTTATATAGTTATCTAACTAGCTAAGTAGGCTTCTTAAATAAGTAAAAGCTTTTATTAGCTTAAATAAGCTTCTTAGTAGTTTATAAAGCCTTTAAGCTAGTTATATAGAGTAGTATAAAGTATATTATACTAATTAGTAGTATTATTAATGATCTAACTATTACTAATATTAGTAATTACGTTTTAAAAGTTTTAGGGGGTATAAAAAAGTATTCTAAATTAATTAGTTATTTTTTTAGAATGCTACTGACTTTTTTTAGTTATATTATTAATAATAGTAGAAATTAAGTGGTAGTGTTGAATAGTGAAAAAATAACATTACCTCGGGTATTGGTTGATGCGGGGTATTGGTTACTTAGGGGGGTGGCTTATCTTGCTTCTCCTAGAAGACATGCTTGACAAAGAAAGCTGCCAGCTCGCTCTAAGCCAAGGTGGGCTAGTACATAAGGAGTATGGTCAACCATGTGCTGCGTAAAAGGCGGTGCTTAGGATCCACTTCCTTGCGTTTATAAAGCAGGCAAGCGGACGCCGTACACCGTACTCCGTATACCGTAATTTATCATTGACGCATCATTTCCCTCGTGTCTCTGAGCTTGAATCCCCGCAGCTCATTGATGACACGAGCAAATGCTTGCTCGGTTTATGTTCTTGAGAGATAATACTAGCAATGGCGGACTTAGGCCCGCGCGATAGGCAGAGAAAGGCACACCGCAAAGTTAAGACTGGGTGCAAAGCCTGCAAAATCCGGAGACAGAAGGTAATGCCACAGTTATTGTGCTAAAGCTCTGCTTCACGCTGATTTCGGACTTGAAGTGCGATGAGACGAGGCCGATTTGTTCCGGCTGTGTCAGGCATTCTACGGAATGTCTGTACCAGCCCACTGGAGCAATAGTCCGGAGACGAAAATTCGAGTCGACATGCACTCAGCAAAGAGCGCCTTTGCCAGTTCCGACAAGCAGTCCTCTCATCCCCCCGTCTCGAGACTTGAATCTTTCGGACCTTGAACTCTTGCACCAGTACTTGACGTCCACATGCAAAGCGACCTCGCAGCTGCCCGAGGTAACGGCTCATATCCAGACGACGATTCCTCGCCTAGCTCAAGACCATCCTTTCCTAATGCGCGGCATCCTTGCCAAGGCAGCCATTCATCTATCCTGGTTACAACCAAATCGGAAGGACCATTACGCCGCGCTAGCTTCGAATCACCACGGACTGGGTCTTCCAGACTTCAGGGCAGCACTACAAGATATGAACCCGGACAATTGCGACGCATTGATCAGCTATTCCAAAGGTTTGGTATGGTGCGCCTTTGCCTGGCATGAGTCATTCTCCACCAACACGCAAGCGGTCTCAAGTGTTGGGAACGTTAGCTGGCTGCCTCAGTGGCTCAATCTCCTCCGCGGATCATGCGTCATAGTCGAAGCAAGCAGGCGGTGGACGACAAATTGCCTGTACGCTTTGCCGCCAGCGCTTGACGACATTACCGAATTCTGCAGCAGCGTGGATGGCTGCCGAATTTCTGCTTTGAAGTTGCGATTGTTCTCTACAGTGCTTTCTCCGACTTGTGAGGCCGTTACATCTGCTCTCGCTGCTCTCGAATATTCCTTCGCACTAGCCTCCATGCGGCATCACAACACCCCCTTCCGAAATGCAATCAACTATTGGGGTGGTGCTTTACAAAACGATTACATCACCCTACTCCAAGAGAAAGAGCCGTGGGCCCTAATTGTGCTGGCTCATTTCTGTGTTCTAGTTCACCGTTCCGAAACACGCTGGTTTATGAAGGGGCATGGAGCACGACTCCTCCAGTCCATAGGCGACCGTCTCGATGTTCAGTGGCATGAGTACCTTCAGTGGCCACTGGAAGAAATTAGGGTACATGGACCCAGCCAAATAATACAATGACTTTGTTCTATTACTACAGATTCTTACCAGCAACTGTCGGGACTCGGCTGTATGAGCTCTCAATGACACGCTGAGACTTGACTACGCTTGCCTCTGAATATAAAAGAAATCAATTTGTTTTTGGGAAGCTCTCTTGAATCAGTGTGTTGATGGATATTCCGTGCTCTCGGTCGCAACGACAGGCATTTCAGAAGAGGTAGTCCAATGGCAGGAACAGCACACAACTAACTGGCTGTTCATATCTTACACCAACTGGAACATCAATTTAAAACTATTTCAACTTAAGAAGCATCACGCCCACGCATTTGCACATCTCCTCAATTCGACAGCCTCGCCACCATACTCTCCAATCCATCCGCAGGACACTACGGGTAGAACAGATCTTGTACATCCCAGTCTAAGTCATCAATCACAGATGACTCATAATAGATATCCCAGTCTGAGTCCCAATCAGGGCCCAAGTCTGCGTCCGAATCGGTGTCCGAATCTGGATGTATGTTGCATGGGCTTCCTGTTTTCAAGCAATCAGGGCAATTCGGCTCTACCCATTGCATCTGAGTATCGCTTTTCGTGACGAAGATCTGAATCACCTTATCCTTCTTGTGCCAATTGCCGACGCAGTAGAGTTTGACACCACGCTTTTGAAGCTCCCGAAAGATGAAGTATGCCCTACGGTACACGGGCTGCAGCTTGTGCAAATGGGAAAACACCGCAGAGCTGATCGGTCGGATGCCTGCATGTCGAGTTTTCCTACGATAACGTCTCCGCCAAATCCAGCCGCACTCTAACCATACCTCCTTGAGATTGAGCATTTTCAGGGTTATTGCTAGACGATCGCGGCGGACTGGGTCGGTGCAGTCCAGGAGGGGGATATGATAGTGCTGAATGTAGTCGAGGACTGTCTGCGCTCCGCTCCCCGGGCTTTGCAGTGTCCGTATGAGACGCTTATCGTCGGCTGATACCTCTAGCTGCAAGGAATTAAAAGTATTCCACGCATAAGGTTGGTGTGTAGTTGCGAAAAGGTCAATTTCAGGGAGTACCAGCGCTGTGACAGGCATACTGTCCAGGTGATAGAATGCAGTGGCTGGGCGAAATTTCCGTTGAATCAAGTGGCAGGTTGCTTTGCTTACCTGACGAAGCAGCCCTGTAGCTCGGAATCGTTGTCTGAGAACCTTGTTTCGATATCTATACTCCATTTGGTTGTGGAGCGCGTCCTCCTCGCCGGCAACCCCCAGGGAAAGTCTTCCAGTCCACGTCTCCACGTCGCTGTAAAGTAGTAGCCAGGTAATGGGTTCCTGAGACTCAACTGCTTCATCAATCAGAATATCGAAAACGAGCAAGAGAATATCATTGGGGACAAGTACTTGTGTCTTGGAGTTGAGCGTCTTTTGGAGAACCATGTGAGCGGAATGAGACGGAAGCAAGTGTCGTCGGTGTTGAATAAGGGGTTGTAGACTAGCATGGGAATATGAGTTTAGAGTCTTGAAGTAGTTGCTAGGTTACGTTCTATGAGTCTCATTTAATGGGTTGCTTATTACTGGCCAGCTTTTATCATGTAGCGCGTGAGAAAACAGATGGTGCACAATGAACAATACAAAAGGACAATTGGGAATGAACAGGAAGAAGGGGCTATTGAACAAAGACTACAAACATCAATGCCACAAGATCATATCTTCTGCGTCCTTGACCTGCCATTATATCTTCTTGCTGGACGTTCCAGACACAACCTCTCTCTCAAACTCAAACTATAGAAATGCGCCTCACCGAACGACTGCGCTTATCAGCTGTGCATCTGATTGGGCCGCTTATGAAGATGATATTGGGCGCTGGTGGGTTTGTTGGCGCGCAGCGGATAATAAAAGGGTGGTGCCCCCGCGCGATGGGTCTGAATTCAGGCTTTTGTCATCTTCTCAGCAAATTCTTCAGTAACTCAACATGGCGTCTCACTTTTCGCCTGCTGTAGGCCTGCAGACGAAGGAGGATCTCACGTACTACTCCAAACCATTGTCACCACTGTGTTCGATTTGTCGTTTTGTTCTTAAACAATCACCAGTACAGCACGACTCTTTACTCTTGGAAAATAAAGCAAACTGCATCTCAACGCCAGAAGGCCAGACCTTCGAGCGATTCCTCAAAGCCGTCAAGGATGAATGCATCATATGTTATCGGGTATGGAATTACGACCGAAGACGCGCTAAGGAGTGGGAAAGCTTTGGTGCGGCCGATTGGTGTCCTTTGACATACTCCTATTCTGTCTATCTCAAAAATCGGGGTGTAAGAATGGGGTTGAAAATGACAGTGTATCAGCAGAGTGCTGCGGCAGTCCTTTGCGACCCAAAAACGGCGCCTTCGTTCGCATTGATCGACGCAAAAGGTAAGCCCAAGCCCTTAATCTTCGGAGCTCATATGCTCATCAAACCAAGAATCATCATGCCGCCCTGATCTGGCGGTCACTCCCATTGGCAACAACACCGGATCTCCCGAAGTGCTGCAAACAGCTGCCGACTGGTATCAATTCTGTCGATTGAATCACAGCAAATGCTGGAGTCTGCCGACTCGTAAGCCCGGGTGGATACCTTCGCGCCTGGTGGATACCTTCGCGCCTGGTGGATATTGACCAGGCTCAAGATGAAAGTTGGAGGCTCATCATCACTGATGACCAAGCTGGCAGTCTGATAGCAGCCCAGTACGCGACATTCAGTTATAGATGGGGATCAAAGCCACAAGCCTTGATGCTAAGAACCTCGACCTTGGGACACTTTCTCGGCGGAAAGCCGATCGCCGACCTACCTCAGACATTCAAGGACTTCATCGTGGTAGCCCGTAAACTTGGCTTCAAGTATGTGTGGATCGATTGTCTATGCATCATGCAGGACTGCAGCCAGGATTGGAACCACGAGGCATCTACCATGAGAGATGTGTACGCGAATTCCGGTTGCAATGTTGTGGCCTGCGAATCGTCAGATCCCGGAGGGGGCCTGTTCCGATACAGACACCCCAGCGATGTGTCCCCTGGCCTAGTGGAAACTCGTCTATCATCAGGGCAACCTCAGAGATACGTTGTTCGCGATGATCACTTCAACAGCAGGAATGGCACGGTGACAACTCTGGCGGACCGCGGATGGGTGTTTCAGGAAAGATTTCTGGCCCCACGATTGCTCTCCTTCCACCCTCAGCGTATTAGCTGGGAATGCTGCGAAGGCCGTAAGTGGGAGGGTGTATACCAGTCATTTGAAGACTCGATCAGCATCATGGACGAACTGCTAGCCTCTTTTCAACAGAGCGCCGAAGCTTCATACGGGGAAATGACAGAAGCCACTCTAAAACTCTGGGAGAAGCTGATGCGCTTGTATTCACACTGCAAGCTCACCAAATCCGAGGACAAGCTTATGGCTTTTGCTGGTGTCGCCAAAGCCTTCCAAGAGCTTACCGGCGACACGTATCTAGCGGGGGTTTGGCGGTCGCAGCTGCTCGTACAGTTGAATTGGACGGCTATTGAGAACGTGAAAGCGGCCCACTTCCCTAAGCGATATAGGGCGCCTTCATGGTCACGGGCATCTATTGACAGCCCAGTCTGGACAGGGTTTAACGTGAAACGTCCAAACTGTGAGAACCATATGGCATTGGAGATTATAGACGCCGGCGCAACTTCCAGCGCCTTTGAGGGAATGGCCGATGTGAGTGATGCTTGGTTAGAAGTACGAGGCACATGTTTTGGATGTTCGTACGAGAAGCAACCGCATGGAGATTTTCACTTTTGGCCCGATACTGACATTGATTTTGAACTTTCGGGGTGGATGGAAGCGGATGTTGCGGAATACGAGTTTGAAGGTGAGGGTCGGACTATTCTTTTGCTTCACACCGTCAGTTCACGTGATGGTTATTGGTATGCCGCCGATGCCATGATCTTGCTAGCCGTTCCCGGCCCGGGAGATGTGTACAGAAGGATAGGTTGGGCAAGGTTCAAGCCTCGGGATCCAAAGAGTCCCTTGGACCTTGCCTTGTCTCCCAGAATCGGGAGGGTCGAGCTCGTCATCGTGTAACAAGAAAGGCAAGCAATTGTCCGGGGCAACTTAAATGAGATTAAAAAATCACGAGGGTATCAATATCGTAGCAGTCATCTTCCATCTCACCACCCATCTCCAGAAGGGTCCCAGGAGTCCCAGTCCAAGTCTCCCAAGCCCTCCTCAATCTCACTTACGCCTCCCTTCTTCCTACCCATCCCTTTCTTCTTCCTACCCATCCCTTTCTTCTTCCTACCAGTCTTCGTCTCCTCCTTCGCAGCGCCTTTGGTAATCCTCGCCTTGCCCATCACCTCCACGAGCTCCTCCTCACCCACATCCTTCACCTCAATAACCCCCAGCTTCCCGCCCCTCTTCCTCTCAATCTTCCTCTCATCCCTCGCAACATCAGCCGCCCTCATCACTTCAGCCCTCTCAGTCTCCCTCGCGCGCCTCTCCTCCTCGGCCCTGTCCTCATTCCTCCACCTCCTCCCATCCAAAACCCGCTGCCTCGCGCGCACCTCCTCGTCAGCCTCCATCTCCTTCCACAGCTCCCTCTTCTTCTTCCCCGCCTCATACAACTTCTCCTCCGCAGGCGTCCTCTTCCCCTCCGCCCTCAACCTCCTATCCCTCTCCATCCGCCTCATCGCCAACCTCACCCTCGTCTCCTTGCTCAGCGGCACCCCCATAAACACGATCCTCGTCTCGGTCCCGTTCGGCAGCCCTACCAAAAACTCCCTCTGCGCATCGTTGACCTTCACCCCCTCCTCAAATAAATCCAGCTGCCCCTCCTCATCCTCGCACCCCAAAAACCTCTCCCGCACAATCCGGTCCACATACACGCAAAAGTTTGTCGTAAACCCCCGGAACATCTCCTTACACCCCTTCGCATCAATTCCCCTCAGCCTCTCCAGCTCAACCTCCTCCGCCGCCCTCACAAACACAACCCCCCTCTGCACATCCCGGTCCCACCCCCTGAAGCTGCCCCAGTCCCGCCGGTACAGACAGCTGCGGTCCTTGTGCTTCCCCACATACGTCATCTCCAGCTTCCGCAGCTCCGGCAGCCGCTCGCGCAGCTTCGCCAGGTACACCGCGTGCTTCCGCACCACCTCGGGCCGGATCGCCAGCTCCCGCAGCCCGCGGCACTGGTTCAGCACCCCCCAGAACTGGCACCACCGCTGGATCGGCTGCTCGAGGTACTCACCCGTGAACAAGTTCACGCTCGTCTTCAGGCTCTTGTCCGCCTCCTGGAACCCGCCCACGTACACGCTCCGCAGCAGCCGCCGGTGCGCCTCGCGCAGCCTGCTGCCCACCGCGACGGTGAACTCGTCCGAGCTCTCGAACACGAACGTGTTCTCGCCCCAGAACAGCGGCGCCGCCTCCGCGTGCACCTGCCGGTTCGCGAGCAGCAGGTTCAGACCGCGGCGCTTGGCGCAGCGGCACTGCGAGGGGGCGTCCCAAGGGTACAGCCGCGGCTCGACGAGCTCGACCGCGGGCTCGAGAACGAGGTGCGCGGGCGGCTCGATGGAGGTGCGCGTGTGGTTCTGGCGGAAGTGGCAGTCTGCGTGGTGGTCGAGGGAGTGCTTTGGCGGGTACACGAGGGCGGCGCGCCAGATTTGGGTGCGGAGCTCGAGGGGCAGGCCGAGGAGGGTCTTGGAGGAGGAGTGGATCTGGTTGGGCGCGAGGGGGATTGTGAGGGTTAAATTAGCCATTTTGGTGATGCTGTTGATGATGTTGGTGATGGCGATGGCTTCGTCTGGATGCGTGGTGCCGATGCCTGGCCTGCTGCGACCGGATGGCTGACGATTCAATGGAATTGATTGATTTCGCTCTTGAAACTTGTTGCTAATCTACAGGAATACCAAACAACCTGATAAATGCGGCTCGGGGTTATCAGTGTCTTAAAGGCAGGCAGCCGTGAGCCGCAATGCAGGCCGCTTCAGTCATCCAGTGGACACCAAACGCACGGAGGCAGCCGCCGGATGAGTCACGGCGCCGGAAAACTAAGGGTGCTTGAGGCCAATGTTGCCTGGCAGTCTGCCTGGAAACGCATTGATAGCACGAAAATGCGGCCAATTGGCGACGGATTGCAGGTCGAACGCCATTTGGAGAAAGCCGGTTGGTGAACTGGCTCGGGAGGGAGGCTCAGTGAGGCGGTGCTGACAACGGCGCCGCCGGCTGGTTTGCTGCGGACGAGGAGGCTTCTCCGCAATCTCACGGCTTGGTCTGCAGCATGCGCCATCTCTCACTCGCAATGCAGCGAATTGGTTTAGAGGGCGTGTCCTTCTGCAGATATGGATTCAATTAGGCTCGCTACGTAATTTCTGTTGAGACTTGAGGTCGTTACTGTCGTGTCTGTTCAAATTGGAAAACCATCATGCAGCGCCAGACTCCTTAAACCGACAATGCCCACATTTTCCGGCAATGATGCTTAGCCCTGTGCAATGACGTCGCGGATAATCTTGTTGCAGTCGACTGGATTCTCGAAAACGAACCAGTCATCGCGAGGAACGTTCATAAACGCCTTCTCGAAGCGCTCTGGCTCGTTCTTGGCGGCGAGACCCACAGCTGCGATGTCGGTTACCTTGCGGATCAGGATGAGCTTGACCCAGCCCTTGAATTGACGGTAGCTGTGCAATGTTAGCCAAATGCTAGATGTTCGGTACGGCGAGCACTCACATGTCGCCATAAGCCTCGGGATCCGATTGCGTCGAGTCGCCAATGAGGATCATCTTCCGCTTGGGAAGCCATTCATGCACCTTTTTAATGCGCTCTACCTTGTATTGCTCCGTCGCCAGAGTCAAGGCCGACAGCAATCCTGCAACGGTCTTCCAGCTGGAATCGCGGAGAATGATGGTTCCAGGGGGGTAGTACTGGTCTCGGAACTCCCTCAGGAACGGGTAGAGGTTGTACGGAGACGCGGAGAGGTAGAACCACGGCGAACCCTGAGGCAGCATCGCCTGAATATTCTTGTATAGCTCCGGCATGCCCTCGATCGGTGTCGGCTCATTAACAAAGGTCTCGCGCAGGATGCCAATGGGATCGCTCGTCTGGGTCAGCTTAATGGTGTCGTCAATGTCTGCAACTGTTAGCCGATGTCCACCCAAAAAGCAGCATTTAAATACACACCTGAAAGAATGGACCACCCCTCAGGCTCCGCGAAAAAGGTGTGCATCTTCAGCAAGCCCGATGTCCCCTGCGGCACCATGGCGCTCGACGAAACCATCGCGCCCGCCGGCTGCTCGTGAATCTTCAACGTGTCGGTGCTGATGCCGTTCGACGCCGACGGACCCAGCTTGAATTCCTTCTTGTGGTTGATCACCCGCAGGTGTCGCGACGGCTGCACATCCCACAAGAACGGTAGTATCCTCTCCTCGATCGTCTTCAACTCCTCCGCATCATCAGCAAGTCCCAACTTTTTCGCGACACCCTGCACGATGTCGACCACCTTGCACTTGGGCTCCTTCTCGAACACGGCGGCGATGAACTCGGCCTGCCAGCTGCCCAGCCGCGAGGGTTTGTATGCGGTGTTGTCCATCAGCCAGACAATGTCATCCTCGGTCACGGGTCTGCCCCACGGGTTATAGCTCCCCAGATGCGACAGCAGGCCGCTGGCGGTGAAGAAGGCCGACTGCAAGGTCGGAACGGTGGGGTTGGGAAGCTCGGCTTCGATGTCGTCGAAGCGGCGTTCTCGGCGGGTTTGTTTCTGCATTTCGTCTGCGTAGGAGGCGGCGGGGCTCTTGGATTCGTCTTGTCCGCCCATGATTGTGACTTCTGCGATGATCGGTATTTAAATGCTGGTTTTTTCGCGTCTGCCTTCTCCTGTCTCTTGTTTGCCTCTCAAAGGTCACTCGGATCAACAGTTGGAAGTGTGACTAGATTTCGGTGTTATTGGTGCCTTGGCGGCGAACTGGTTGGTAGGCTGACGGTTCAGGACTCAAAGGAAGACTGTTCGTGTCAAAAAACAGGCGTTCCTGGTTGAAAGGAGACTCGAGGTAGGATGGGCTAGATGATGGAGGCAGGCTGTACGGGAACTGGCGCTCCCAAGTAGGTGTCGTGTCTCAGCTCTGCCGGGGCAGCTGTATTCGTATCGGCGTCGCGACCAAACATCTGCCCCAACGCCTACCCCAGAAAGGCACGGCTGGGTCGCAGGGCAAGTCCAGTCGATCGGATGAATTATGTCAGAGCTAGCTCGTTTGGCTGCATCGTCTGTGTGGGAGGCGCCCGTGACATGGTTTAGGGCGAACTGTGACAGGACAACCATCAGATGGCCTGGCAGCAAGGTGGTAAAATGGTCGCAGCGCGTCTTGGCTGAAATATGCCCCTCCAAAGACCCGTGTGACTCGCCTGCAGGGTGACACCTGCCGATGACGATGGGCAGATCTGCTGCAGGCGAAGGTGTGTCGGAGGCGTAGGAAAGATGGAGGGGCAAGGGGCTGGTGGATTGGGGCTGGCAGTTGGACGAAGCGAAGCACCAGCGGGGGCGGGAGGCATCCGGGGGATGCCCTGGTCCTTGTCTTGGCGGATGCGTTCCGAAAATATCCCGACTCGCGATTGGGGGTTTTGCCAGCGTCACGTGGAGAAGAAGCACGGTCCATGCAGCTAAACACTCTCCAAGCTCACGCATGCAAAATCGATGTCGTTGAACATGGGATAAACTTTCTTGATCAACCCCAAAAGTCACAGTGAATGAGTTCCAAGTGAGGTCAACTAGAGGGAAGATTCAACAGGATAAACAGCAAAAGTAATGTCCTCGGAGAGGCTCGAACTCTCGACCTTTGGATGTCTCTGCCTGGGGCTGAGTCATATTGATGAGGTAATATGAGACCAACGCTCTACCGACTGAGCCACGAAGACAAGTTGTCATGGCGGGGTGGAAGCAAAAGATGATTATGATCTCTAGCAGAAAGTCCCCACTGACAACTTTCTACGATTTCTAGCGTTTCTGAGTCCGCTTGGGACCTTGAGAGATTTCATCGCATAGTCAAAGTAACCACCTATTTCAAAGCTTCAACCAAAGTTGGTTCTTTCGATTAGTTCTTTCGAATGCACTGCTCAAAGGTCTGTTCGTCCAAGTCAACTCGCGGAGAGTGGTCCATCTCCGAAAGTGGAGAGCAGACTGTACAAGACAACGCCTGAATTTGGACGCGGACGGAAATACGGTGTGCAGATGGAGTCAACTTTATATTTCTTTCGGAAATTCTCATAAATTTAACCCGATTGATTGGGAAGACAAAAAATATAAACATGCGAAAGCGTCTTGAACCTCGCTAAACGAGCGTGTTTCGAGATCCCATTGGTTTGCTATTGGGTGCATAGTCCGGGCAGTCCGCCAATGTTCTTGCTTGGGTCGTATTATTGAAGACTCCAGATGAAGTTCAGCTGAATCAGCTGCGGCTTGCGGAAATGGGTTGCAAGTGAGAACTCCGAAGGCTATCACTGTGACCAGGTAGCCACTCGATTGGCCTGTCTCACTTGCAAGCAATTCCGTGCCCCGAGGCTGCCTGGAAGACGGTCACTCCGTTGTATCGGGAAAATCATATATACACTATCCATATTCGTCTCCGACAGTCAACGCCTTATCAGCAGCAGACGGCTGACTGCGACGCCGCACGGCGAGGCTGCGTGTCCCGCTGACCACCTTGTCGCCGCCATCTCGTGTAAACTGGCCACTCATACGAAACTTCCACATACCACAGTAACACAAGATTGAAGACTCAGATAATGATGGCTCAGCTAAACATGTGCATTGTGCGTTCTTCCTCGGCGGTCCGTTCCGCACGAATATGTATATAAGACTTTCGCGTTTTACACTATTGTATTTCTTTGTCCAACCACTTCACACTCTGTCACTAGCAATTTCATCAGGTTTGCAAATCATCGCTCGCATTCAGGACTTCGAGGTTATGCGATACTCTCACACCGGCGATCAGTCCGAGCAGCTGGACTACGCCTTCTTCAACCGAACAATACGCATCTTCAACCTACCAAAAGGAACACGATATGAACCCCAGCCTCATCGTCCGTCCCAAACATGACGAAGACGTAATCAGGGCAGTCAACTGGGCGCGCGACAACCAAGTCGCCGTGGCTGTCAAGAGCGGCGGTCACCAGTACTCCGGTGCATCTTCTACGTCTGGGAACAATATTCAGATCGGCCTCTCCAACACCTACAAAGATCTTATGATCCTTGAGCCCAAGGATCCATCGCGCAGGATCGCACCCTTGTTTACATGGGCGTGAGTACCACAACGATGGAACTCAACCAATATCTCAAGCATAATAAACTCTTCGTGCCGACGGGCCAATGCGCTTCTGTCAACGTCGGTGGACATGGTCAGACCGGGGGCTACGGCCAGCTTGGCCGTAGCTTTGGTCTCTTCGGCGACAGCATCAGAACTATCCGCCTTGTTCAACACGATGGCGTCATCCGCGATGTGACCAAGGATAACGATCCGGATCTGTTCTATGCCATTCTGGGTGGAGGCCCAGGTAACTTTGGCATCATCACACACTACATCCTTGAGGTGTACAAGTCCAAAAGCTACCTGGGCACAGTGGCTGGCCCAAATAACTTCAAGGGGCCACACGGTATCAAGGCGCTCTGGATTTACTCCCGCGAAGTCCTCGAAAAGCTGCTCACAGCTGTGGTCAAGATGGCCGCTGATCCTACCTTCCCTCGCGGCTTCGACCTCTGTGTGAATGTCCTGAGCACAGAGTTTCCCATCACCATGCTCTTCCAGGAGTTGAATGACGCAACGGTTTGGGAGCGCGTGCAAGCCCACATCAGAAAGGTTCTCGAGGATAAGTTCCTGGCGTTCTTGAACGGCAAGTTCCCCGCGTCGATTATCTTGTATGCGCAGTGGTGCCCCACCAGTAAGGAGGACAAGTACGACGCCAAAGTGGACGCCTGGTTCGACAACTTCCGCCAGCCACAGAGCCGCCTGGAGGATGAAATGCTACAATTCGGCGAGTTTGACATGGAAATGTCCGATATGACAGGCCAGTGACTCTTCCCCAAGGAGCGCGAGTTCGATCTGCCGTACGTGAAGCGTGTCTATTCGACCAACTCGACCACTCTCCCCAAGAACGGATGAGTCAAAGACGTCGTCGACCGGATTGACCTCATCTACAACCCGAAGCAGTATCTCGACGGTCAGCCTGGCGAGCAGAACTACGAGCGGTACCTGCGATGCAAGTTGTCGGTGCAAATCCAATGCTTCGGCGGGGAGAATTCGCGATTCTATGCCAACAGGGACAATGGCACCTCGTACAGCTGGAGAGACACAACTGTTTGCCAGACGCTGGATTGTTTTCACGAAGCGGACGCCGAGTCGAAGAAGTATGCCGATGCATGGCAGGCGAAGAATGATGCTGTGATGAATGGACCGGACAGCTCGTTCAGTAAACAGGACAGACGTCTTCTCTGGGGCTCTCATGGAGATTAGAACCTTGGAGATGAGAAGGTTTGGAGGTGTTACTATGAGAATGAGGAGAAGTATCAGAGGCTTGGTAGAGCGAGAGCGAAGGCAGACCCCAACGGAACCTTCACAGCCAACCCGTTTGCTGTGACGGCAGTTCACGATTCCAATGAGGAATTAAAGTAGGAAGCAAAATGACCCATCTTTGGTCGTTGCGATGAGCATGCTGCATGCCAAATTAGACTCCAAATACGAGGCGTCATCTCGCCCTTCCTTGCTCATCATACGACCTTATGTGGAATACGGTATGAAGATGATTCGTTTGGTGTTTACTTTTCGAAACACAAGCGTTCGAATTCGCCTTTTTCTGTATCTTACAGTTAGTCATCATTGTTAGAACGCCTTGCTCGGGTTTCGCAGGCTCTCAATCGAAAATATGGTGTGACGACTGGTTGGTCTTTAATGCTTATCACGCCCCGAGCTGGGAGCGGGCACAGATATCTGGCATTCTACTGGTGCAGGATACTGCGTGCAAACTCGACTGTTTATTGGCTGTGTTTGGCCAATCGCAATCTGACATGCAAAGATGCATGAGACATACATGCTAATCTGCGAAGGTAGCCTACGGTCCCGTGACGACGCGGCACAGCCTCAGCCTGCGGTAGGAAAAGCGTTCAGGAACCTCATCTTTCCCGTCTACAAACCCTCACAAGCCATCCTCTTTCGCGGTATGGAAATTCTCTATGCGGTGTTTCATCGTTTTTGTTCTCATTCATTTTGAATTCACACATCGGCGTTTCTATCACGGCGCGATCCTGCCCAATCGAACTTGAAAAACAAAACATCAGGCCGTGAGCTTGATCGCCCATGATAGCCGAAGCATTGGGTCTAGCTTCGGGTGTCATCGCCGTCGTTGACATGGCCACGAAGGTTGGGGGGGGGCCAGTGTCAAGCTCAAGAGACTCTTGGATGAAGTCAACGAAGTGCCCTCCGTGCTTCTCGAGAAGGCGGAGCTCGTCCAAGGATGGGATGAGTTGTTTGAACAGGCTGAACTTCAACTTGCTACACACAAAATGTTGCTTCAGAAATCTGCAACAAAAGCCCGCTCTATCCTAGCCGAGCTCCAAGTGATGATCGACGGATTCCTTGAACAATCTACCATCGGGCGAAGATACAGATGCAAGATAGGATCGACCAAGGTCGTTCTTCGAAAGAGCGAAGTCAAAGCTCTAGATGAGAAGTTAGATGAGGCCCTGACTCAGTTTCAGATGGCACAGTCGCTGTACACAATGTATGTTGAGTGTTCTTCTCCGCAACTGTCCGTGCAACCTGTAACTGATCACTTGAACTTGGAAACAGGGCGACGCTGATGTACAATCCTATCCTGGCAATCGAGCACCAATCATCGCATTCACATGAGTCTGACAAGAATCAGATCACCTCGGACTCTCCGACAGCCCACTCAGATTCCGGGGACGAGAGTGCTGACGACAAAGTCACCTATATCACCAGCGAGCCCCATGTCAACTTTTCAGTTTCGGCCAGCCGAACGGTGCTTGGCAAAGCTCATTGCACACTCGGCTCTCCTAGTGGATTCCAGTTTTCCTTAAGAACACCAGACTGGCTTTCTTCATCTGTGTACTTCGTGGCGGCTTCCAAAAGCATCAGAGGGTGGGACCTCCATCTCAGAGCTTACGAAGTTGTTCCACCTTTCCGGACCACTAGTCTGATTGATCATTTCATACGCGACGACGCTCTGGCTATTTTCAAATTTCTTGAGAAGAACAGTATGACTCCTTATGTGCGTGACATGGATGGTCGAGGCTTGCTTCATTTAAGTTGCCAGATACACGCATCTTCCATGTTACAAGCTTCATTGATACAAAACTTCAAAAGCTAGCGTGTGAATATTCATCCATCAATTTCATGGATCTACTGCTCAAAAGGGGCATAAAGCTCTCTATCTCAGAAAAAGACACAAAATATAGTGCGCTTGATGGGTAGGTGTTGAACATTTGGGACGTGTTGCCTAGCTGATTGGATGAAGGTCTAGGTGGTTATGGTATTTGCTTGAAGGGGGGTTCATGGCATACGCAAGCTTGAACTGGCATTCCCCCTTTCCCGCCCAAAAAATGCTTCAGCTCCTGAGACGCCATGACGTGGACGAGGATGCTTTTCACAATCCGGGGGGGGGGGACTTCATGTATGGTACCATGTTGCCGCCAAACGTACTGAGTAACTTGATGGAGGATGAGTACCATCGCATCCCGGTCAGACAAAGACTTGCGGACGCAGGACACGCGGAGTTCGTCGTCGATTTCGAACCATTCTTGTCTTGGCTCCCTGAACCCAGGCAAGATCCTTGTAACCTGCTTCAAACCTCCCGGGGGCCAGGGATGTTCTCTCTCATTCACACCATGGTCAACCATTTGCCATTTTTTGACGACAGTGTTCAACACAATCGGCATATGTCAATCGACAATCATCCTTGGTTCCAACCCTTGTGCAAATATATTGCTTCAGATCCTGAGGGTATTGTTCATGTTGAGGACTGGACAAAGTGTTCTGCTGGCGCTAGCTACAGCGGAGGACAGTCGCCCCTCTCGCTGATTGTCAATTCAAGCAGGGACACGCTTGGATATAAAAGTGCCCACGCACGTATCCAAGAGCCTCTTCAGCTGTGGATTACCGCGTTATTAACGTGCGGCATTCAACTCCTCGCCTATGGTCGATACGAACAAGCAAATTACCAACGACAAGCCGTCACATATGACAGGCGAGGATGCAATGACCTGTGGTGCTGGAAAGAAGCTGCCAGATATACTCTCATCGGCAAAACTTATGGTTCCCGCCCAGAACATTGGAGGCTTTGGTGGGCTTTTGAATATGAAGACTATGCAGGAGACTTCTGGAGCATGGTGGAGCAGTCAAGCACAGAGGACCCTGACTTAAATATTCCAGGCAGCTGGGTGGAAGAACCCAAAGATCCTAGGACCGTGGAGCGAGAAAGACTCCGCGAATGGGAAAACGAGGAGTTGCCTCCTTTGATCTGGTCGGAATATCGCAAAATTCGACCACCAATGTAGGCGATTTTGCAATCCTGGTGAGGTGAAGTCATGGATGGAGCCCCCGGACACAAACAGCGGCTTCAGCTATTTGGGCTGCCGGGTATTTCGCACCGCATCTCTTCAACGTCAATGAAAACTCTCGGCATGCTAAGGAGAAAGTCAAACGGTCTTGGGATAGAAAATGCTCATTAACTCATTATCTGCGACAGAATCACCACTCGGTCTAGCATAAGCCAGTCACCAGGGTGCATTCATGCTCTCTTCTATGGATATCATGTGGAGCGAAGTCGGGAAATGCAACGTTTAGGCCGTAAGAAGGGGTGCCAGAACCACATGGTCAAGACCCTGCACCCGACGCGATGCAGGAGGGCATGCGCACGACAGCATGCTCGGCCGAAAATTCACCGGTTGAACATTAGGCACTCAACTTTTTGTGAACCGTGAAAGTGAGAAGAAACTCTTCCTCTTCTTATCTCCCTTCATACCCCTCTCACCATCGTGCTTCTTCGCTTGCTCCTCCGTATTGAGCTGCGTCGTGTTGTCATGCATAAGCTGCTGGGCATACGAGACGGTGCCTGCGTTTGTAGCACCAGGCGTGTATGAGATGCTTGGTGGCGGCGAGCCAGGGATGTAAGGATGAGAGCCCGGAGGTGGTGTGATTGGGCCGTATGCTGGGTGGTTGTGCATGCCGGGCGGTGGACCTGGAGGCGGGGTTCCTGGTCCCCAGGAGTGAGTCGGCGTGCCATACGGAGAGTGACCCGGGGGTGGTGAGGCGTAACCATAGGGGTAGGGTCCGGGAGGCGGCGGTCCGGGAGGAGGTCCATGAGGATGTCCAGGAGGCGGAGGTCCCGGAGGTGGGTACATTGCGCCTGGGGGTGGTGTTCCATATGGAGGGGAGAGTGGTGGCGGCGTGCCATATTGCGGTGTCGTCGGTTGACTTGGTGGCGCGGGGAGCGCAAGTTGTGATGGCGGGCCTTGGATCGCGGCGAGTTGCTGCTGTTGCTGTTGCTCTGGAGTAGCGAAGAGGTCCATGACCTTGCCGTGGCCAGTGAGTCTCTCGTAGACGGCGAGAGTAGTGCCGAAGTCCTTGTGGCCGTCAACTTTAATGGCATCGAGTAGCTCCAAAGCGTATGTCTGGCAGTTGTTCGTGATGAGATTGTAGGTAGGTTGCCTTTCTCTAATGCTTTGAATCACAGATTCACCTGCGCAAAGTAAGCCAATCAAATCTCAGGAGTGAAGTCGAAAGCATTAACTCACCAGCTCGCCGCAGCGCGTCATCATTGAAGCGCGTCTCACCCACCGGGAAGGTGCGCCACTCTTCGCGCTTGACCTTCTCGTTGGTGTAGATGACATGGAACTGCTCGTCCTGCGCAACGACCTCTCAGTCAGCGTCCATCATCCATGCGCGGGATGCACATTGAACTCATTCCGACGATCCCGAACGACGTGGGAAAAACTCACCATCCAGAGCTGGTGCGCATACTCTCCAACGAGTACGGCCCAATGCTGCGTCGGGTCCGGGTAGTACCTGATCCTCTCCGTGATCATCTTCCCCAGGCCGGTGTCCTCCGCGAACCACTTTCCGGCGAGGCCGCCGACAGGGTGCCATCCGACCTCGACCGGCCGGGGCGGGCCGTTGAGGATGGGCTGCGTGACGGGGACGACATTTGGCTTGTGGCCGAGGCCGATGGCGTGTTTAAGAGCGAGCTCACCCTTTGTGAGATTCTTCTGCCTGTTCGCCGTGTCAGTGAGAGCGATCTCAAACGGCCTCCTTCACCATCGCGAATGGATCGCGATGACGTAGTGAATGGGCTGCCAGGGTGCGCAAAAGCGGTGTGCGGCAGGCCCAGTATTGGCAGGGGACGGCAAGGGAAAAAGGTCGCGCCTACAGGAACTCTCCCACTTTATCCCGCTTCCTCTTCGCTTCCTCGTCGGAGCCGGTCGTTGACACGGTCGTCGACATGGCGATTCAAGGGCGGCGGCTCACGCAAATCTCGGAGGAGGAGGGGTGTTTAGAAGGAATGGAGAGCGGACGGAGCACGCCGGTACGGGCCTCAACTCTTTTGGAACGACAACTGTGGCAAGGCACTCTAGAAATGAAATGTTTGGAAGGGAAAGAAGAGGAAAAAATGGAGCGAGCGGCTGCTGGCGCCGTCTTACGCGTTTTTTGGTGTGGCTGTCGCAAACGCAGGGCGGCAACACAAAATACCTTATTGCTTGCTGGTGCTGGATGCGCTGGCGCCTTGCTTTGAGCTGGACCACGTGAGGCGCAGGCGCGCACCGCCGCATTGATGGGTAATTAAAAACAAGGGACGGAACGACCGATTCAGCCAATGAAGTGCGATCTCGAGCCTGCCGACGACCCGGGAGACGCTACCGAATCGGAAAGGAGGGCGGAAGGCGGCTTCTCCGGGTTGCGATCGATGGGCTGTGGAACGGCATTTGTCTTCTTATTTGTTTCTTCTCCCCGTCGCACGGAATCGCTTTCGCAATGGGCAGTGGTCTTTGCGCTGCTGTTCACCGATCGTGCTGTGATGCGCAGCAGGTGATTCGTCATTTATTGGGACTGTCAGTCAATCACTTGCAGCACCAACGCATACACCTCGAGTCATGCTTGGCGGTTGGCTCCACGCCGTACACTTGCATTTGCTCCTTCAGTTGACTTTGAGACGGTGTTCAGGAACAGTCTTGCAGCCAATCTTTCTCTCTGGGACAAAGAACAAGTTTCTCTCACCTCCTTTCTTCTGCGTCAAGATGCATATTTCTGGGATGAGGAGAACCTGCAGGTGGTTACATCAGCCAAGTATTGTACGTTGCGTGTCGCCGAGGTATCCGTCACACTGTGCTATGGGGCATTGAATATGTTGAGCCACTTGCAAAATCGATGCATGGCGCATGTTGAGAGGGCTCAAATTCAATGCAAAAAGTTCGGACAATGAACTCTGATAGCGTTTTCCGAGGGCGATCTAGATCGTCTAAACTCTTCGCTTCCTCGGTTGGGGCGAACTTGCTTCTGACGGGCGGAGCAAAAGCTTATTTGGATGACTCGATTAACCTCAACGCCTAGCTTAGCAACGAGCCAACTGGGTAAACTCAACGGCTGAGTTAGGTGGGCTATCACAAGAGGCATATCATGAGAACTCAGGGGGCTCATTCCGTCTTGGGCAGTTCAAGCTGGAACCTCTTCACCAAGCATTGAAGCAAACCTTCACGTGGTCCGGTTTGTAGTCACTGTCGCTGAATTGCCTCTCCGACCTTGAAGACTAGGTAAAGTTTGGAGCAAGACTGAATTCCTGGTTGAGTGTTGCTATCCGGGTTCACATTTCTAGGTAACTTGGCGGGCGACCAGTCATGTTTTGTTGTTGTCTTCGCCGTCGTTATCGACGTTGCCCTTATCATTGTCGTCGTCATTATTGTGATCGTTGTCGTTACCTTCAGCGTCTTTATATTTATTACTTCTGGTGTCCTATTATCACTATTTGCCCGAACAAAAGAAATTCCAATGGTAACGTAATCACTAAGTTGGTCTTTCACGAATCGAGAGCGATTATCGTATGTACGTGTGGTCAGTTCGTGTTTTCTGCTCTTAATTATGCTATCGTGTCGCAATTTGGTTTCCATCTCAGTCAGACTCATGCAAGCCTACACGAATCTATAGACGTTGCTGCTGTCTCGAAACTCAAGTAAGCCCTTTTCCAGGAGGTTAGGGCGGGGACATATACATCTTTCAAGCGTCATCATTCCACCCAAGCAGACACAACCTCCTTCGCTCTCTCTCCATCCTCCACAATCTTGCTCTTCTTGAAGTCCCCCCTGGCAATAAAGTCCACATCAAACGAGTTAGGCTCCAGAACCAGATTAGAGTGGAAGCCAGTGTTGATGTCAAGATCCAGCGGCTTCTTCGCGACGACATTGAAGTCCCAGGCCAGCTTGGCCAAGACGATCAACACCTGGTTCTCGGCGTAGTCAAGGCCCGGACACATCC